ACTGTCCGCTCTGACCCAGACACTTTCCCACCTCCCCGCTCCTCTTTGGCTCATTACTCACTGTCCCTGCTAGACGCATTCACTGTACTATGAAACACCCAATCAGAGCACTTAACATCTCTATAACTTTACATTGGTTTGTGTAAGCCTTTGACTGATGAATTTTTTCCCACTCCATCAAGTTTGTCAAGGCAGTGAGGATTTCTGGCTTTGGTCACCCGTATACTAACACCCAGGCCAGAGTCTGGCACCTAGTATAAACACCTGTTCATAGACTATTTGCTGGATGGATAAATCAATGCTGGATGTAGCCACACCAAAGGGAAATATCTGCACTTGGAACCAAGCTTGGAGTTTGCAGAGAGGACTTATCTTAAAGCCTTGTAAGTGAGGAAAAGGAGTCTCAGAAAGACAAAGCCACTGGCTTAGGGTCACAGAGCTAGAATAAGTGAAGGCCGGCTCAAAGGACACAAACACAAAGAAAGGGATATGGTCAGACTAAGTGAGCCATGACAGGCTACACATTAATGGCCCATTTCATAAAGGAGCTGTCTAGTAAACCTGCCTCAAATACCTACAGCAGTTACCCCTAGGGTTTCCACAGGGGAGCCCCCATCACAGCCCATCCAAGAAAGCACAGCGTCTATTACATGTATTGAAGGCTTAGTTCAACATAGCATTGATGGCATTTGCCCCCTTTTGAGCCAAGGCACATGGACCCATATTTATTTTCTTGGTTCTGCCAAACACTGTTTCCCATCAACATCCAATTCAAAACATTTTCCTTGAGCCACCTTCTGTGTAGGTGCTGTGTTGGGTCCTGAGGATACAATACAGAGAGTTGAAAACAATCCATCCTCTCCACATGCAGAGATCTCATAAAAATCACCAACTTGAAAAGGGGCTTTAAAAAGGTCTTATCTAGCTGCTGTTCCCAGCCTGGAATTAAGATTAGGGTTGGTTGTGTATTCGATTCAAAGAAGACCAGAGGAGAGGCAGCGGGCTTTGAAAGATCAAACACCATGGGTTGACCTTATCTCACTCTGGGCTTGTTTCACATGGACTCCATTCTATGGAAGAGTAGGGTGACAGTTAAATCAATAGCTAAAGGCAACTGTTTGGGTCAGTGCCATAGACTGCAGCTAAAGACCAAACCCACAGCATCATGAGCTCTTATTCTTTCTCTCTTTCTAGAAAGGAAGCCAAGTGTCAGAGAGGTTAAGTAATGTGCCTGAGGTCACACAGCTAGTACTTTGCAGGTCCAGGAAATGACACCCTTACATCTCTCCAGCTTCGATCTATTGTTCTCTCTTTGATTCCACATTGCCTCCAAAGAGGGTACTGGAAGAAAGTCGAGGGAGGCAGCAGTGTTACACCAGGAATCACTGAGAGAAGAAAAAGGTGACTCATCAAAAGCTGTAGCATTATTGTGGAGCCCATTGATTCTCTAAATATCTGCAAGGCTGACTTCATCAGAGTGGGTCGTGGTGGTCTGCCAGGGCTGTGACCATGCACCAGTCCTCACTGGGGACCTGTGATAATCCCATTCTCTCTCCCACTCCCTCCCTCCCTTCAGGAGGAAACTTTTTCGAGGCAAACCTGGAGAATGAAGGAAGTATTTCGGGCAGTGATTCAACATTTTATAGACAGTCAGAAGGTAAGTTTGCTTAAGAGTTTTCAGCTAATGGGAGGTTGAAGGAATAGAAGCGCCTTTAGAAACTCGGGGCCTCCCAGTTGCATTGTAACTGCTAGAAACAACCCCTTCTTACTGGGTGGGAGTCTCCAGGGGTCTTCTTGTTGTTGCCATTCGTGTGTATCCATCATCAAAATTGGTGAGTACAGTCAAGGTGTGGCTGAGAGCAGTGCATTCGCTACCCAACCCCTGGATACCTTATATCCCCTGGTGAGCTCCAGTTCCAAGTCCATCTTCCAGAGCTAGAATATAATAATGAATACACTTGTGTAGTTCATATTAAAATATTCATAGAAACAATCTATCATGTACTGATTCACTTCTTCTTTATACCAATATCATAGTCCCCTGAGAGTAGAAGTTAAAAGCAAAACAAACTGATGGTTTCAAATTAAACCTTCGCCATCATTTCAGCTCCTTCTCCAGCGTGCTGGACCTTGAAATCCTCCTGAGTCACCTGCTCCTACAGCCCCTCTCCATGCTCTCTATTCTCTCCTTCAGGTGCCTTCGCCTGGAGGTCCCATCCTCCTTCATCATTGCCACCTAGAACTTCTCCCCGTGGTATGACACACTCCTGCGGGCTCCAGGCTCCTCCATTCACTGCTGAAGCTGAAATGCCCAGCACTGATTTGAGCCCAGAGTTCTAGACTCAGATTTTTGAAGCTTGTATCAAGCCCTGTAGATCCTACAGGGATCCTAGCCTCTGCACATCCTAATCAAGCTCTCAGTCACCCAAGTTCCTAGCAGCTCTTTCTCCAAATTCTGTCCTTCTCTTTCTTTTCTGAACCCCCATGGCCTGAGAGCCTCCTGCCCACAGTTCCCCTGTATTAATCTTACCTTCAGTGACCATCCGTATGCACCAGAGTTCTCCAGAGAAGCAGAACCAATAGGGGACACACACACACACACACACACTCACACACTCACACAGATTTATTTTATTTTAGGGACTTGGCTCCCACCATTGTGGGGCCTGGTAAGCCCAAAGTCTATAGGGTAGGTCAGCAGGAGGAGCTGGGGGCAGAAGCCAATGCTTTTTTTTTTTTTTTTTTAATTTTTTATAAACATATAATATATTTTTATCCACAGGGGTACAGGTCTGTGAATCGCCAGATTTACACACTTCACAACACTCACCATAGCACATACCCTCCCCAATGACCATAACCCCACCCCCCTCTGCCAACCCCCCTCCCCCCAGCAACCCTCAGTTGGTTTTGTGAGATTAAGAGTCACTTATGGTTTGTCTCCCTCCCAATCCCATCTTGTTTCATTTATTAGAAGCCAATGCTTTAGTCTTGAGACAGGCTTTCTTCTCTGGGAAACCTTAGTTTTTGCTCTGAAGGGCTTTGTTCTCAACTGCATGAATAAGACCCACCCACATTACCTCAAGAGCAATTTCCTTCCCTTAAAGTCAAGTATCGTAGATATTAACCACATCCACAAAATACCTTCATGACAACACCTAGATTTGTGTTGGATTAAATCAGTGGGTATGACAGCCCAGCCAGGATGATGCCTAAAACTGACATCCCATTGTCTACCGGTCCTCCAAGCTTCGGTCACTCTGCCTCGCCTCCTTCTCCTTCTTCCACACCCCTGCCAGTCATTCCCTCTGCAGCACCAACCTGAGTCTTCACTTTCAACCAAAACATCTTGAGTGCCCCACTTCATCCTCATCCAGAAGTCATGAATATAGCATTCGGAGCCTCTGGGTTATGGCTCCAGGCTCTTACTGGCCAGGGATCTGTGGAACTGGGGAACGATACCTACCACAGGTCCTTCCGCAAGCCTCTTAGCGTAAGTGCCTGCTCACCCCATAGCCTGGGGAGCACGGGAGAGTGTGGACTTGGCTTGTCCATTGGGATGTCCCAGGGCTAGCGAGGGCTTGTGAGAAAAATACGTTGATTGGTATCTCGAAGAAGAGACACGGGAGGTACAAGTGTCTATCTCTAGGGAGCACGTGGTGTGATGACAATCTCAATTCTGTAGACTATACCTGTCGAAACACTGGGAAAGCTGCATGTTCAGTCGGCCACCCTGGGGCGCACAGAGCCCTGATGTGACTGTCATCATAGCCAGCTTTTGATGGACCCGTCAGCTTGCTGGATCTCTTTGAGCATCCCTGGGTTGGTTTTGGAGATTTTATATGTTTGCCAGATGCCAATTTCTGTTCACAGTTGTGTCTTGAGGAACCTGCAAAGCTTGAATCAAGGTTTTTTTTAATTGAGGGATTGATTAATGAGTGAATTGATGTATTTATGCTTAGTCTCATTCTACAGAGAGTTTGAGGCAGCTCTCAGGAGGTTTGCATGTGTTAAATAATGCATGAGTAAGAGAGTATAAATGGAAACAGGAAGTTGAAATCTGGCCAAAGGAGGCATAGACATGTAGCCCCTGCAGACCTGTGTTCCTGGGCCTGATGTGAATTGGGCTTCTGGGGCAAAGGGAGGGATGATTGAAATTCTCACTTCAAAGATTGAGTTTCTGGGAAAGCAGAGCTCTTCCAAGCACTCAGCTCCAAAAAGAATTTTGTCACCTACAGAAGCCCTCTGACGTGGGGATGTTTCCTTCCACCTGTTGCCATTTGCAAAAAATATGCTTGCTAAAAATATGCTAGCGTTATTTTTCTAAATCATGTGAGCTTGTATTTGTCTCACTATTGTAGTCAAAATCAAGGGCTTTTGCAGACAGAGTCCTGGACTCAAAACTCATCTCTCCTCCTGTCACACTGAGTTGCCTCAGCCAAGTTATTTGACCTCTCTGTGCTTCAGTTCTGTTGTCCGTTAGATGGCACCCACTCAGTGGACTGTGGTCCAAATGAACTGTGGCCACGCACATAACACTCAGCCTGGGGCCGGCAGGTAGTCGAGCTTGGTGAGGTTGGCCAGTGCTGTTGTTCTTGACAAAATTGGCTTAGAGTCTAAACATTGCTTCCACGGGTTTTGTATTTGCATTAAACCATGTGTACTGTCCAATGCCCTTAGAACATTGAATAATTTCCATCCCTATCGTCACAGTGATACGTGAAATGCACAAAATAACACATAACCTTCATCTGAGAAAGCTGATGAAAGAGCTGTTATTTCTTTATATGAAGCACTTCTAGGAGAGCAGTTATCTGTAAGGCAGTCTGCCTGTCGGGAGGGACTGCGTGTGATGCAGTCATGCTCTCTCAGAGTGACTTGGCTGGGAGAGAGTCTTTCTGGTTCCGCGGGAAACTCCAGAAACTCCAGAGTCTCGGACAGACATCCAGCTGAGATGGGGACTGGAGAGATCTGAGGAGTCTTTTCAGAGGAGGAACCCTTGGGCCAAGCCTTGGGGGCCCCAGGAACAAGCTCAGGTACAGAGCAGGGACCAGAGGAAAGAAGGCCAAGATATAGGAGCCATGAAGGGAGAGACAGTACCTCTCAAAGAATCACGATTTCTTGTGTCTGGGGTTGTGGGGGAGGGGGAGACTGAGGCAGGGGAGAAGGGCTGGAGCTGGTGCGCCAAGTTGAGCAATGGGGAAATTAGCCCCCAGCCCCTGCAAGATTTAAACAGAAGAACTGAAGTGGAACAATCATTTGACTTGTCTTTCCCTTTCAGAAAGTGGTCTGTGTTCTGTTTACTCTATAGGACACAGCATGATGGACACCTTGGCTGTCGCCCTGCGGGTGGCTGAAGAGGCCATCGAGGAGGCGATTTCCAAAGCAGAAGCCTACGGGGACAGTCTGGTATGACCTTGTCCTTGCTGGGGGGAGGTGTGGGGCAAGGTCCTGGCTGCCGGAAGAGAGTCCAGATTGTAGGGAAACCAGCCTCACAGTGGCTGTCCTTGACAAGAGCGGGGCCCACCCTCCCCCTGCGTCTCTGGTCAGGACTCCCAAGACAGGGATGGCCACATCCCCTGACCCACCCACCCACAGCAGCCATTCTCTTCCCTCCCTCTGCAGGACAAGCAGAACGAGGCCAGCTACCTGCGGGACCACAAGGAAGAGTTGACCGAGGAACTGGCCACAACTATCCTGCAGAAGGTAGGTGGGCCCTGCCATCCCGTTATGCCATTCACCCCCCACCCCTCCCCACCCCTGGCCTGGATCAGAGTCTTGGCCAGCGGAAGAGCAACCATGGGCCCCGTTGTTGTCTTGGGCACCATTTCTGGGCCACATCACGTTTCCCTTTTGTGCCCCGGGAGCCACTGCGGAGGGATTGCATGGCGCTGCAGAGTCTGAGTGGAGGGATCCAATGGGGTCATCTTTAGGGATCGAGCTGGCGGGTAAGGAGCCAGGAACTCAGCACTGAGCAGGTTACTCACCGTCTTCCTGTTTCCTAGCCTCCCCGCTTGTGCGTGTTTGCATGTGTGCACATATGTGTGTCCTTCTCACAAGTTTCGGTCTCCTGCTGACCCGCAGTCACCTCCTGCTACCTCCATGCCGTAAACCGTTCCTTGCATGAAGTATCCGTTCATTACTGTGGAGAAGCCAACCGCGCCAGACCTCTGTGTCTGCAAACAAGGATGATTTCTGTGATGCCACACGCAAGTTTCTGACACCACCTCAGTGTCCTACAACTCAGTTTTGACACTATCTATGCCGAGTTAGCATGGACCTCACAAGTTAAGGGCTCAGCCCCACCAGAGTGCCCCCACTGCAGATACCAGGGACAGGTGTCAGGTATCCCCAAGTTACCGCACTGATGTCCAGTCTACTACAAATCCAGGGATTCCCATGATCATTGATTGCCCTCAGGTGGGATAATTTGCTAGAACAACTCACAAAACTCAGCAAAGTGCTGCATTTCCAAAGACAGATTTATCATAAAGGATACAAATGAACAACTGGATGAAGAGATACACAGGGTAACAAGGCGGGGGAGGACGTGTGCAGACCTCCATGCCCTCTCCCTCCAGCGCACTGCCCTCCAGGTGACACCAGGGGGCTGCCCCAGCCCTGGGCGCGCAGTACCCCCTCACTCCCAGAGGTAGAAGGGGGAGCTGAGATTTCCCAGCCTTGAGTCAGCTCATTAGCATAACAAAGACACTCCCAGGGTTTTTGGGCTCAGTGCCAGGAATCGAGGCCAAAGACCAAATGTATGTTTTATTAGAGCTCAGTTTCTTTCTCGCTCAGGCATCCGCTCCCGGCTCATGCTGTGGGTTGGGCTCGAGTCCACACTGTGTGTTCACTCAGGGGCCTGAGTAAAGGCACAGCAGCTACTGGGGCCAGGACCCAGGACAGGAGCACAGGAGAGGAAGAGGAAACTGCCATACGGACTAAGGCCTAGGCTCAGCCCTGACTACTGTGGTTACCCACTTCCTCCTCACCTGTCACTGACCAAAGCAAGGCACCCAGTCAGCCCACTGCCACAGGCTTATACTTATTGTCCCCTTCCTCGGACAGATGCAGAGTCACATGACAAAGAACTGCATGCAGGAAGCAATGAACAAGTTAAGTCTTCTGTTTTGGTCACAAAATCCATGTCCCTTCTGCACGGCCCACACAGAAGATCCCCACTAATCCCCCAGAGAGCCCCAGATGTCTCATCCAACCCACAGTTCATAGTATATTCAATCCAGATTCCGGGGCTTTTACGCTGAGACATAGGAACCAAGGAAACGTTATCTGTCCCCATATGTCCAACACACACTGTCGGGGACAGATCCCTGGGCAGCTGGCTGGCTCAGGATGTGACCAGTCCCCAGCAATCCCAGAGCCCAGGGAGGTGGGGGTACACTTTGGTCAGGCCCGCCATCTGCCCCAGGGCATGGCACCTCCGTTCCTCACTCTCTCTACTCGGCCTCCTGCTCTCATCTTGTCTGGGCTACAAGGGCATTGAAGAATAAACCCAGATTGGTGGCTCAGAAGTCTTCTCAGCTGCCTCTAGGAAGTCAGGAGCCCAAACACCACTGTACAAATAGATTCATTCTCTCCGTGTGACTGTGCCCAGCATGGCAGGTGGTAAAAATGAGCCATCAGCTCCTGGCTCTTGGAACCTGCCCCCTTCACAGACCCTGCCAGTGCTTCCTGAAACCAGGATTTACAGCCAGAAACTGCGGGTTCAAAAGGCAACTCCACTGTTTACAAGCTGTGCAGCCTTCACTGGTAGCTTAACTTCTCTGAGCCAGTTTCCTCATCTGCAAAATGAGGAGTCATAGCCCATAGCTCTTAAGATTATTTTGAGGATTAAATGCCATGGAATGCATACAGTGCCTACCACAGTCTGGCCTGTGGTAGGCATTTAATGAATAGAAGTTGTAAGCATCATAAAAGGATGATTTACAAAATGTAAGGTGTTGTTCTGTTTTACCCTCAGGCATAACTGAAACAGATGGGTATGCTGTTGAAACTAAGTTCTTCTGTGGCTGAAACACATCCCAGAGATGCTTCCAGTTGCTCCACATAGCACCTGAAGGCCTGGCCAGTAACATGCCCCCTTTTGTCCCCCCACCCCCTCCCCAGATCATAAGGAAACAGAAGAGCAAAGGCGAGCAGCAAATGGAAGAAGAGCCAGAGTGGTTGCAGCCCCAGAGCTGCATGGCCAAGGCAGCTGACCGGGGGACCGCCACACCCCCAGGAGGCCCCCGAGCTCCCTGCACCCTCTGGGTGAGTCCCGAAGCATAATCCTGCCCCCACCACGGACTGGTGTCCTGCCCAGGCACTGATCAGAGCTGGTGCCCTAGACGTGGGGCCAACACTCTCAACCACTTATAGTTGACTCCTGTACCCACCCGACTGGGTAAAAGTACCCGAAAGGGGGCAGGGGGAGAAACAGAGAAAAGTGTATGTGATGGGGGCCAGGAGGGGCCAGAGGGGCCAGAGGGAGTAAATACAGAACAGCCTCCTGAGGATATGCAAATGGCTTTTTATGCAGGACCCACTTAGGAAAAATAAAGGTGTCGATAGGTATTTTTAAAATTCATTCCAAAGAGGGTTGAACTGTTCCTGTGAAAAGAACAGCTTTATGAGGGCTCTGGGCTTCCTTACAGCTTCCACCCCTTGCTTTCCCGAACCCGAGCCGTGACAGTGAGATCACCATGCCGTTTGAGGCACCGAAATGGCCACCTCTGGACACGGGCGGGGAGTCGGGGAGTGGCCCAGCCCTTTGTCCATCACCTTGAAATTAAGCCAAGGGCCGCAACTCAAAGCACAGGGCCCTTGCTGTGACCCCAGGGTTGGAGCCTGCTTGTGTCTATGGTAGAACCAACAAGCCTGTAAACTCCTCTACCTGTTGAAGTGGCCCCAGCAGAAGATGTGGGGGCTGGGAAGGCCAGAGGCTGAGGCCAAGGAACCAGGCCTTCTGTGCAGAGATTACACCCCAAACCCAGGGACTGGTTGGCAGGGCTTGTCTTCCAGCAGTGGTAGGAGCCCATGGTCCCAGCATGGGCGTGAGGTCAGGACAGCGCACACAGGTGCCATTTAAAACTGGCAAGTCAGAGACTGGGAGATCACCAGCATGTGTTTCCCCTGCTCCCCCTGGGGGTCAGCGGCATTCGTCCCCTCTGTGAACAGATTGATAAAAACGGGTGTGCAGCCCAGCTGCATGGTAGGCATGCGGTCCCAGAAGCGATGCCCAGTATCTTCACCATGTCAGACCTCCCTGTGTCCTCACCAGCCACCAGATGCTCAGGGTAACAGGGAACATCTTTATTGCTTTATCGGGGAGTTAGCGTCACTGATTTATTGGCAGAAACTTCCCTTGTCAGCGTGCCCATCAGCTTACTTTACTGCTGCCATTGTGCACCTAAACAGGAGCCTCGGTCTGGGCCCACTGGAACTGAATAATCCGGATAGCGAAGCAGGCTGGGGTACGAGTCCGCCCAGGGCTGTGGGTGCCCCACTGAACGGCTGAGACTGGAAATGGACTTGGGGTTCAGCAGAGAGAGAGCCCCATGACCTTCAAATAGCCTGTCATTCAGAGGTTTCACTAACTCGTCCTGCCGCTGCGAGCTCAGGCTGCATGCATAGTGACACCCTGCTTTCTGGGAAGTCTTTTGGAAGCATTTTCTGAAAGAGTCAGGCTTGGGAGGGGGGCGTCTCTAGGAGGTGTGAATCCCCCCAGTCTCGGCATTGGACCAATACTTCCTCTATGTAGACTTTCTGTGCGGATGGTGTTCATACATATTACTTCGTGAGATCCACACAAGGGCATCCTGGGTTCTCCCCATTTTACAGAGCAGTGAACTGTGGCCTCTCTAGCCTGAGCCACTGGAATTGAGTTGAGGGGTGGGGCAAGACCAGAACCCAGGTCTCCTGGCTCTGAGCATTTCCTCCACTTTGCTCCTGTCTCCTGGGTCATGGGGCAGCTCATGGATATGAAATGCCTGTTCTCCCACCAAATGTTTAGGGGGACCCCTTGTCATGCTTGCAATTCAACCTAGAAATGGTATTCCTGCCACGTCATTGAGGCTGGAGACACTCTGTGTGTCCGCGGAGATGGGGGACAGTGGGCTCTAGAATGGGTCCGGACAGTGGGAACAGCCTGCAGTGGGCACCCCCTTTCCACAGGAGGACAGCAGAGTGCTTCCTGCACACCCCTTCATCAAGTACTGGGTGAAAGTGGCTTAAAACAAGCAGCAGTGATGCTTCCCAGGGGGACCTCCTACTCAGCCCCTCAGCTGGCTGGAAGACCCTAGTCTACCTGGGGTGCAGGCACACGGGGACTGTGGGTCAGTCGCACAGGGTTCCCATTTGCTTTGCTAAAAAAACCTTCTCAGGGTTTCCTTTTCTCACCAGAAAATCTGTTTCGCCAAATGCCTGCCTCCCGCACGTCCCAATTGTCACGTTGGTTTCAACAGCAATGAAGACAGAGCACATGCATTTCTTACTTATTTGTCCTGAAGCAAATGACAGAATATGATTTATTTCTAGATTTTGATATAGGATAAGGCCTAATGGAAGTCCCTCTCCCACTGCAGGCATCTTTTGAATCTCAGGTATACAGTGCTTTGCAAGCTATGTCCACCTTCCTGGGTCTTGAATCCATCAGTGTGGGAGGGGGTGGAAGAGATCCTTGAGGCTATAGTTGGAGCAAAGCCCAGAAAAGCCACCGATACACCCCTTGGATAACACTTTAACCACCCAAATCACAGGGCCTGGCACCTTACAGAGGGGACAGGATCATCCTCTCGCTCCTATTGCTAATCCTTCCATCCTTAACTTTGATGTTTGATCAAAGAAGTCCCCTCTTGGCCTCTCGGTGTGAGTTCTCCCTAAGCTGTGATTTGCAATATGTAAACAGCATATTTCTGTCAACATTATCAGTCAGGGACACGCGAATGCTTTGGCTTTCTCTACTCACGCTTGTACTCATGGGAGCTGCCGCAAACGAAGCAGCCAGAACCCCGGCATAAAGAGAAATCCATCATCCAGCGGGGTCCCTGGCACGGCTTGCTCTTTTGAGCGGCCAGGATCTTTAGCCCCCATTGTCCGTGGTCACGTATTTTCAGGCGATGGGCCAGCCCAGCACCGGACATGTGGCAGCCGTTTCTCGATAACAGGGCCATGGCCACCTGATGGCACCATGTTGATTTGTGGGGATTGTCATGGCCTGGGCTCAAACCCTTCCCCTTGGTTCCCAGGATACCTGTGAAGGAAGGAGACTGTGTGGATCCACGCAGGGGTGGGTCCAGCCCCTTGTGAAGGCCATTTGTAGATCCTGGTTTGGTTTGAAGACAGCCACATGATTAGAGCTTTTACAAAACCTTATTTGGAAGGAGAGTCTGCACCTTACGCAGCACTCAGTGATAAGAATCCATGGAATCTTGATTAGTTAGCTGTTTAGAAAGGCTTACCCCAAGTTCTGGCTCTTCCAGCGACAAAGAGGCTGGCATACCTCCTCTGTGTGAGTGCTGTCCCATTGGGCTCCAACCCCATTAACAGGCTAACCAGACAAGCTCGCCAGCCCAGGCCCCTGAGAGGGCCTGCAGGGAAGGACTGGCTCCCTTCCAATGACCCTGACCCACCACTTCCCCCAATGTCTCAAGCCTTCCTCCCTTCATCCTTATCTCTGTCCTGTTGCCTTCTTCTCTTGTCTTCAGACCTTCATTTAATGCTACATGTGGGTCTTGACCCTTGGACAGACCCCAGCCTGACTTCCCTTGGTCAGGACCCCAAGCTCTTTCCCTCTGAACAGCACCAATGGTCAGGGCCAGCCTGGGACCTCAAGAGTTGGTACATCTGGGGGACAAAGGTCAGCCTCTCCAATGCGCTGTGCAGGATCTCACCTTGATGGCTAAGCCCGTGCTTTCTCCTCACTCCTGGCCTGCAACTGGTCCCTGTCCCCTGTGGTGAAAGTCTGTGCTAACACCATATCCCAGAGTTAGGGCCTAAGGGGGACTGACCCTGGCCAAGGCCACCATATTGCACAACCATTGACCTAGAATCCAGCATGATCAGTGCCCCCAGGTTGTACAGCATGATGACTGCAGTTCTAGCTGCCAATGAGCGGGAATGAGGACTGGTTAAGGAACAGATACATGTTTGCCCATCTCATGTTATATCTTTTATATCTCCACCACAAGGTGCAGATGTGGGTATTTTGGACCCATTTTATAGATGAGAAAACTGAGGCTAGAGCTTTACCATAAGTTGCCTAAGGCTCCATAGCTTGTGATTGGTGGCTCTGAGAGTTGAATACCTTTCTCCTCTTCCAAAGCCCTTGATCTAGCTTCTTCCTCTATGAAACAAGATCAGCAGATTCAGCTATCTCTCAGGCCTGAGACTGCACTCTCCATTGCAGTGGCCATGAGACACAAGTGACTATTCAAATTTAAATTAATTAAAATGAAACAAAGTTTAAAATCTAGCTCCTCCATTCAACTGGCTACATTTCAAGTGCTCGGTAGCACCTCTGGCTGGTGGGTACTGTATTACACATTGCAGAACATTTCAATCACCCAGAAAATTTTGCTGCACAGCACTGGTCTAGAATTGAGATAAGGAGGAAGTGATAAGCAGAGGGCATAAATGCAGAAATGTGCCTCATCATTGGCCAAATCCTGGACACGAAGCAGCAGGCCAAGTCTTGGCTCTTGGGGACCTCAGGGAAGGTGGCCCTCCCATCTTTTGACCAGCTGGTCTCCAACCTCCCCCTCTGCTCATTTGCACCATCACCAGAGCCCCACTCCAGGGGTTCCGACTCATGGGGTCTGGAGTCCAGCCTGGGCATGCAAGTACCTGACCCAATTCTCCCCCAGTGAGGCTAATGGGCTGCAGGCTTAAGGATAGCTCTTTCTCTCTTGAGGAGGGCTCCCTGACCTCCTGCTGCAGAGGCCATAACCCTGTGGCCTCCAGGCAATGCCTCCCCTTTTTCCTCAGTTTCCCAACAACCTGGACCCCTCTAGCCCAGGGCATAACCATGCAGAATCTCAAAACACTGCAGGCCAGGCTGCTAGGCTTAACTTTGAAACCCAAACTCAATCCATCCCCTGCAGACAGGAGTTCTCCTGTGTTCTCTTGGAAGAAACTTGAATGTGTTCATTCTCTTGTTAATTTCCTCCCTTATTGTGTGATTCTCCAACAGTAGGGGATCTGTGCCATCCAGCTTTCAAAGCCTTAAGACGCAGTATCCTAAAAGCCTGTAGTGCAGGTCTTATAATTCATTTAATGCCTGCCTCTTTGGGCGCATGTATATACAAAGTCGTCTTCATAATAACCTGGTGATCCTATTGATAATAACCGTGATGACCCCAGAGGCCAGGCTCTTAGGATGCGTCCAGTGACCAAGAGGCATCTCTCTGTCCCCTCTCTATCCTTCTCTATTTTTCTCAGCCTTTCCTCTTACGTGTCTGTCCCTTCCTCCCTCTTTCTTGCTCTCTCCTTTTACAGGATAGATCTAAAGTATTTTTCATTATTTATAATTACAGGATTGAATTTAGTATCTATGCCGGACCCCAAAAATACAAAGCAAAGCTTTGTCTCAGTTGTCATTCATCCTCTTCCTGTTTTATGGAATAACCTCCTTGTGAGTAGACTTCTTTAGTGCCATGGTCAGTCCCTCAGGGAGTCCGCCCTGTTGGCAGTGCTGATGGTCCTATTTGTCATAGCGACAGTAGACCTTTCCAAGAGATGCAAGGAGCACATCACGCCACTGCCCACACAGGATAGGCAGCGAGTGTGGAGCAAGGTCTCATGATCATGCTGTGTGTTTCGCCCAGAGTGTCAGAGCCACCTGGCTCAAACGGCAAGTCCTGCCCGGCCGGAGCAGGTTAGCCAGGAGGAAGGTGTTCCCAGGCTTGCAGCATGGGCTCGGCACAGCATGGAGAAGGCATGGAATCGCATCAGCATGGGGCCAGACAGACCCCAGGTCAGACCCTGCCTCTGCCGCCTGACCAACCATGTGCTTGGGCAAGTTATTCAACCCCTGCCTCAGTTTCCTCATGTGCACCCTATCAGGTCAAGTGAGAGAATGCCTATGTTGTCCCGGCTCAGCGGTAGAGTGTAATAAATACTCTTATTTTGACTAATACTCCTTGAGTGCTTTTTATGTACCAGGCATGACACTGATCCTTTTACATGAGGAAACTGAGGCACAGAACACTTGAAGCCCCCTCACCCCCCGCAGAATCCCACAGAGCAAGAGGAAGCTGGCATTGACCCAGTGCCAAACACACCACCCATTAGCTGGTGCCTGAAGAGTTGAGGCTGACCTGTTTCAACACGCAGATTCTCAAGTTCCTCTTTGCAAGACCTTGCTGGCACCTTGATACTCCTGGACCATGGACCAGCCATTCCCGCCCTCCCTTTATAGACATGCAGACACTAACTCAGGCCAGCCCTTCCTATTATTATCAGACCTGCTTCTTCCGTGGACAGTAGGGTGGGTAAGAGGAAGGGAAGGAAAGCAGAGGTCATGGGTGAGAACAAAGGAGGGGGCACAAAGGCCCAGCTAGGATCATGAGCAAATAAGACTCCAGTAATCCCTTCACTTCCCAGGAGCCAGAGGTTGAGCTAAGTGGTGAATAAATGCATTATCCTGTCGCCATCTGCTGGTAAATATGTTTATTGCATTGAATTTGTGGCAAAACTGGGTCTGGGTTTCAGAACGGGAGCTTTTCCACCCTGGCTGGAGACAGGGCCAGAGGTGTCCTGAAACCTACTGAAGCCAGATCTTGGGGTCTTTTGTGGTTGTCAGGGTATAGTTTTCTTCTAGTGTGAAACAATGGCTTGCCTGAAATCTAGTGTAAAAGTCTGGGGTCCCCAACTCACTCGCAAAGAACAGAGATGTCATCCTCCGTGTTAGAACCACAGGGACTTTTCATTTCTTGGTGTAGGCTTTTGTAGATGGGGAGCATTTTTGTCCCATAAAAATGGACCCAAGCTCACTCTTAAAGACGCATACAGACAAATATAAAATACCATGTGACCCCCTATAAAGTGAAACATTCAGTGTCATTTTTCCTCTTTTGTAAGCATGTGTTCAGTGATTTATAGTGAGAAGCTGTCAGATATTTAAAAAAAAAAAAAAAGGCAAAGTCAGGGCATAGAAAATGGCTCCATACTCTCCATACCGTACCTGGCGAAGGATGGTCAACTCCCTTAAGGAGCTGTCTGTCTAAACTCTGTCTGAAGTCCTGGAAATTCAGTCACAAACAGGCAACCAAGGATCACATCCAAAACACCATTCCTGCTGTCAAGGAGCTCACGGTCTTTGGAAGAACTGAAAGGTTGTAGTAGGACTGTGAGACAGTATATGCAGTTATGTGTGGGATTACATCAAAGGGGAGGTTTCTTGCCGGACCACGGTGGGATGAGTGTCAGGGGTATATTACCTGAGTACACAGGAGTTTGCCATAGAAAGACTTTTTCCTTCATTTTTAGTAACTTCATTTGACCATCAGATTTGATCTCTTTTCTCTCTGGAAGCTGTTCATCAGAATAAGGATTTAGCAAAATCATAGGCGGCTCCCTGAATACCCATCCCCATGAAAACCTTGTTTTCCCGACACAAGGGACAGAGTCCGGGCTTTCTTGCCCTTGGAATAAAGGGAGCAGCACTCAGCTGAAAGCCTCTTGATGTGTGTGTGTTAGCTTGGCTGTCCTCCAGCTCAGACCTCGCCCTCCATGTACCTGTGATATGATTCAAACAGTGTCTCCGCCTGTCCTTTGAAATCTCACTGCCTCCGCTTCTTAGGTAACAGCTCCGTTTCCCTTCTTTAATTCAGACGCTAAGTGGTACGTGTTGCAATAGTTGTAGGTTTGTGGATGGGCCGTACTTGGCTCACGGATCTGTCGTAGGATTGACATTGCGCCCTAAGTTTCTGCCCAACCTTGGGTTTGGAGGTCTTCCGAGGGAAGATGCTTTCTTTTTTGAGCACGGTTGACCTAAGAAATGTTGCCAGGAAAGTGGCTGGATAAAAGGCTGTCTGCAGCCACTACCCACTAGGGTTCTGATGCTTTCGGGTGGACCTGGCACAGCTTCAGCAGAATCAGCAGGGCCTGTTGGCACTGTCCTATAGCGTTACACACTGTTTGCAGCTGGAAGCCCCAGCGCGGGAAGAACCAACACCATCAGACATGTCTTCTCCACACTGTGTCGTCTACCAGAAAGTGGAAGGCATCCCTCCCCATGACTGTGCCCCTCAGTCCGCTCTCTTCCCCTCTTTTTTCTCCACAGCAGTCCCAGTCTGCATTCTCACTCCCCAGAGAGGACGCCCTGAAGCCCCCTTCCCTGGAGGCTGTGTCGAGACTGCGGAGGAGCCAGGCCCAGCCACTGCGGGAGGAGGCAACCTTGCCCAGCTGGAAGAGCACGGACAGGCTGGACGAGACAAGTAACGGTTTTAAGTGGCATCTGGTTGGTCTGTGGGTCCCAGGAGTGCTGTTGGGAGGCTTCTTCCTGCTCAGCCCGAGTTGGTGTGGGCCCATTTGGGGCCGCCGAGCCACCGAGTCATGAGGCCTCTACCAAGCACACACGTATAATGCAGTTGTGTTTTCCACTGGGCAGTCTTCCCGCTGAGACCTGTGGGACAGTGGGGGCTGGGGTGCTCCAGGGCTAGGGTGTTAAAAATGCCTCAGCTTCCTGGCCACATTTCAGCTTCCCATTCCACGTGGACCAGGAGAACAGGTCTCATGCAGGCCAGAAACACTAATCCAACCTAGCAAGCTATGTCAGTGTTCAGAGGATTTGGGTCTCAGTGAGGGCTGGTTTTAAGAGTGTCCTTTTTGAAACCTTACATAATAGTGAGGGTGATACTCGCTCCCATAACAAAGAAACCAAACATTTAGGTGGCTTAACATACGAGTTTAGGTTCTCATCAAACACCAGTGCAATGCAGTGTCCTGGCTGTGGGAGGTCTGCGGAGGCCCAAGGCTCTGCTGTCCTCCACGGCCTCTGAGCTTTCTGCTGGGTCATTCACACCGGCCAGCAGATGGAGGAAGAGAGAACAGAGAAGTGAGTGCATCTGCTTCCTAACCACCCCAGCAGGGACATGGCCCACACCACTTTCACTCCCAGCCCACAGACAGGAACCAGTCACACAGCCCAACTTCAGTGCAGAGGGCCTGGCAGGTGTCCTGGCTGGGTGCACAGGAGTCCTTGATGGACATCTGTCATCCCCACCGCACCTGGGGATGGCCTGCTGCCCGTTCTTCCTGCTCCTTCTCCTAGAACATCCCACCTCTGCATAAAGCCCTTGAGCTCCCCTCTCCAGAGACTCAACATCCATGACACACAGTCCGTCATAAACCAGTCTCGTCACCTAATCCTTCACAATGAAGATGCTCCAATTAGCTGAGTCACTTTCCCAAAGTTACACATCCAAAGGCTGGAGGTGCTTGGAACCACATGGGTAACCGTTGAGGGCCACGAAGTCCCCTGCTCAGGCCACCCGGGTGTCTTGGGTTCCATGACTGTCTAAGCCAAGATGCTCGCTCCTCCCTGGCACAGGTCTGTTCTCTCCTCACCCGACCACACGTAACGGAAGCTAGGAGCATTGTCCTCACAAAAGAAGCCATGAGAGGATTCTCAACTCCCACTGTATGTCAGATCTAGAATCTGTTTCTGAACAACAACCACAAAAATTAGCAACAAAATACTCACCTTAGAAATAGGTTTTTAAAGATTGTGCTATCGTTTCTACTCTCTAAGGGAAAATATTGAATCCACAGCTATTGAAACAAATTCCATTGTCCTCAAGGTGCAAAGAACCACAAAGCATGCAATGCTTTTTAACAGTCATTCTAAAAATTTCCCAAAACAGATCATTTCCATGTGAACCTTTTAGTAGAACCCACCTGTCAGTAGAATCTGCAGAGATTCTGGGAGCACATGAAATGTTCCCTATTTATGTATATGGTTTGGGTTTTTGTTTTTGAAGTGCCTTTTTCCATTCTAAGTAAGCTTTTCTTTCCTTTCCTCCTGCTGCCCAACGTATCTCTTCATTCATTCATAGGCTTTCTTCCTTTCTCTATCTCTCACCAGAGACTGAAAGTTCCCATAGAGAGGGGGCTCTAAAATTCCACAGGGCATATGCTTATCTTCCATAAACAATAATAACTACCCTCTAAATGTCACTTCACCACGTACAGGGTCCATCTGCAGGCATTACTTTATTCATTCCAACAACAGCGCTACGGAGCGTTACCACCCTCTCACGTAGCCGACAAGAACCTTGAGGGACAATGAGGGTGAGTGTCTTGTTCAAGATCCCACAGCTAATGTGGCCAAATGCAAACCTTATGGCTCCAATTTGCAGGCTTTTTCAACTACTGCATGATAATAAGTGTCCCTCCCTCCATAAAGGCAAGCAAATAAGCAACACCACAACAAATAGCCTTTCAGAATTCACGCTTACACACGGTTAAGTTTAGAGGAGATGATCAGAACTTCTAGAAAACACTCCCTTTCACAAAATAGTTCCCTGCTGACTTAGGAGCATTCCAAATAAATTTGGAAAGGGTTTTGATTTTCAAAACATGATTTCTTTTTACCTAATTTTCTGTAAAATGAAGCACCCGTGTAATTACGTATCAGTGGTACATAAACACAAAATTTAGTTCAACAATACCACACACAGGAAAGATTTCATACTCTTCTCAAAAACTCCATGCATCTCTCAGGTTAGAGATTTAAAATAACAACTATAAAGCACTTGTGTAGAAAACCTCTGGTTTTTCTGAGGAATGCTTGACCTTGACATGCTAAAATGTCCAGACCAGCCCCACAGGTCTCAAGGAGTGTCTGATCTGTTTAGCGGGAAGCAGATTATACCTGGGAGCAGGGCCCAGTCTCAGCAGAGCAGAAATGTAGAAGAGAGGAGACCCAGAGGTAGAGGTCATCTTGGTTAATGGCCATTGGCTATTTTCCGCAGTTCTATTCATGCCCTGGGGGAAAGGTGGCTTCCAGAGCCTGTTAATTCGTGGTTGGGGTCAGCTGGAGGGACACTGTGGGCTGAGTAAACCACAACAGGTCCACTTTGAGCCCCGGGAGAGCTCGCAGCAGTCAGTGGATGCCTCCCCAAACACATTTCCCCTTGATAGACCTTGAATGAGCATCCACTATAGGCACAGCACATGCTCGGTGCTGGAAATAGCCATTGGGGACGGCGGGCCCTGCTCTGTAGTTGCTGACTGGTTGTTGCCGCACAGTCACGGAAGGGAAAGAATTTGGACAAAGGAGATAATGGAAGGGTGCAGGGTCCTCGATGGCTATTCCCAGAGGACTAAGAGAGTGTGGTAGTGGGACCCGAGTACAGCTTTGAGCAGTTCCGACCACGCTCCTTACAGGTTTTCACAGGGGTGGGCATTCAGGAAGCCCGCTATGCTTTTGCGGAGACAAAAGCTGGCCAGCTTCTAGCTTCCTCAGGAGAATGTGGTGAACTGGGATTGTGAAAGGCAGAAGAGGGGGGCCAGCGACAGACTGAATCCCTGCCTTCCGGGTAGCGGGTGTCGAAGGCAGGTGCATGACCACCGGGAGCCAGGCACAGAGTGGCATTCATCGGGGCTTTCCTGCTGTGACTTCCTCCCGTGACCCCAGGAGAGGATGCAGACAGCAGGGCCATGGAGGGCCTAACATCACGAGCGCAGTCTTGCCCCCGCATCCTGTGGGTGCCTGGGTTCACCAATAAGTAGTCTTTACAAGCCCCGGGCAGGTTCCAGAACTGCTCACGGACTGGAGGTAGGGCAGTGAAGAAAATGCATCCTCTTGTCAGTGTTGTGGCGGGGCAAGGAGACTGGGGGTAGACAACCAGGAAAATTAGCTCTAGTATAGTTTAAGTCTTCAAAAATGAAAGCTTTTTGCAAAGTCCAGAGAACAGAGTAGTCTAGCTTCTTAAGGTAAGAAAGCCATGGATGTGTCCTTGAGAAGCAGCATGGGAGTTGGGTCTCCAAAGACCATCCAGAGGGCTGACTTAACAGCTAAATATAGGGCCCGGGGTGGGGCTGGGCGGGGCGGGGTGGCCACACTTCTCCCCTCAAGGTGAACCCTCTCCACAGCCAGGGCGAGTCTGCTTTGCATCATGGGAGTGTGTCTGTGTGCAGACTCTAATAGAAAGATCTGAGGACTTGTGGCTTGTTTGGAGGTGAGCTCAGGAAACACAGAGAGGGGAGGAGGGGACATGAGACAGGGAAGGGAAGGCAAGGCAAGGAAATGACTCCTTATGGAGCAGGGCTGGGGAACAGCAAGAACCAGTGTAGAACGCCCTCCTGGGCAGCAGCAGGCAAAGGAAAGGGGGTACTAATCCACCAGCTTCCGCTGCCACTGGTCGAGGGCTGCTCCTGGAGGCTGTGATGACCGCCACTGCTGGGGCAGCCAAGCAGCCTCTGCTAACCAGAGCACACCTCAGGCCAAGAATCGCAAGTGCTGGCAATTGGAAGCCCAGAGGGTGAAGGCCGAAGAGACCCACATTGCCTGCTGCTGGGGAAATCAAAATCACCACTTAACTGGCCACAAACAGCCTCTCAGAGAGAAAGCCTGCATATTTCTGGAAAAATCCAGGCGGGCTCTGTGGTCCCTGCTTCCACACCACCTGACCCATGAGACTGGGACATGGCATTGGGAAAATGCCGGCAACATAGAAACCCTTTTCCCCAGAAGACCATTACCACCACAACAGGTAGAGCCCGTTACCTGCAAATGACAATAACGCCGTCGTTAGGCTCTCTTCGGCACTTTTCCATGGCCAAGGACAGTAGTTGCTGTGGTACACAGTCGTAAATACAGGGTAGGTAGGTATGAATCCCTGTGTAGGCAGTACATGGCCAATGGTAGAGGCCAACTCAGCAGGCAGAAGGTAAAAAGGTTGAGGGGTAGCAGACAGTACGATCGAGGCTTGACATATGTTGTCTTCTAATAATCCTCTGACAGCCACAGAGGGTCGCATTGTCCCCAATTTTAGGTCAGTAAACGGGCTCAGAGGTGCTCTTTGACCAAGGTCCCCTGCCAGGAATCACAACAACTGGGGCTCAGCCCTGGCTCTCCTGATTCCAAAGTTCTAAGGCAGCCCAGGGATGGATAAGGGGGAAAGTGCTATGAAGAACTCGTCTCCTGCTCTGAGCAGGCACGTGTAACTGGCTTGGTGGGTGTCACCTCATTTAATCCCCACACCCAACGAGGGCGGGATTAGCTGTGCCCCTTTCCACCAATGAGAGTACCAAGCCCGAGAAGCTTCCCGAGCTTTCCCCGCAGGCCCCCGACTCAGCGGCCTCTGCTCTTCCCTCTGCGCCAACTGGGGGTACGCAGCAGGCTGGAAAGGTCGCTGAGATCCAGCCCCTGGCAAAGGAACCTTGTCATCATTGGAAGGAGGGCTCAGCCACGTGCGTGATCAGCCAGAACCCAGACTGGGTCATGGCAGAAGCCAGACAGGCTGTCACCCTAGCAAGACCCAGGGAAGGAGGAGGCCACAACTGGGCAGAGAGACAAGAAAGTGCTCTGGGAAAAGAGCAACCAAGCAGATGAGGTCTTTGAGAAGTCACTGGAGCTTTGCCATGTGGAGATGCTGGTGGGGACAGACCCTAAGGGTAGAGGGAGCAGCCAGGGAAAGGCAGGACCCAGGCCCTCAGACTTCCAGGAAGACTGTGCTTAAATCAGCCCCAGGCCTGGAATCTTCCTGGAGGAAAAGAAGCCCCACTTTCTGACTCAAGAAGAAAGGGAATACAGATGTCCGGCCAGCCTGGGCTGCCCCGGGGTCTCGAGCTGAAAATGTGTTCAACCAACATCTGAATTCCCTAAAGGCTGTGGCCCTACAGCAGTCCTGGCACGTACAGCACTCTGTGGACAACGCTGTGAAACACCAGGAACTTTTACTTCATTACATGAAACAGTAATCATTTAACTAGTAGGAAATCTGTGTTCGAAACGACCTCTGGCAAGACGCTGCCCCAGTGTCCCAGCACAGTGGACCTGTGGCCCCTGGAGGCCTCCAGCCCAGAAGCTCGTGTCCGCACACAAGGGGGTCTCGTCCAAAGCCCCGTGGTCCTCATCACGCAAACCCCAGGGAGTCCTGTAAGATTTCTAATACAGGAACACAGCTTCTGTTGGCCACTGCTGTGCCCAAGGCCGCGGGGCTTTCCCAGGTACTCGTGGCTGGGAGGAGCACCGTACCATCCTGCTCACTCCCCGGGTGCACTATCCTGTTTGGCTTCCGCAAAAAAAAAGATCAAGCAGCTGTCACCCTCTGCCATGCAGGTCTACCCTTGGGGCCCCAGTCACCTGCCATCATGGATGCTCTGGGCAAAACTGAGCCCACTGTAGGCCAACCCAGATCATGACCTCCAGTGAGGACCACTCCAGCCTCCCCTTGATCAGTGCCTTCATTGGTGTCCACAGCACAGTCTCTAAGCCAGAGCCGTCTCGGTATTGGACAGAGATCATCCCAATTTGACCAGGTATGAGCCCTGTGACCTTTGACAAGTTACGTAACCTCGCTCACCTTTGTCTCCCATCTGTCAAAGAAGATTGGAATTACCAACCGCCTTCTCCCTCACATCCTTTCCGGAATGAGGCATGTGCCTTGAGTTGAAAATAAACTTACGTGGCGAGCAGGAATAAACTCTGTCCCCCTCTGCGGCTCATACAGAACACTTCTGGGACCAGATGTGTGGGGTTTTTCCGTATCTACCAGTTCTCTGACACCAGCCTGGGGGCCTCCAGCTCCGTGCTGACTTTGCCTCCCTGCAGGTAGCTCCCGATCCCACCATCAAGGGCTCAGGACCATGTGGCTTCTGACACCAATTACAAGTCCCATGTCATCCCTCGGACTTCTGACCGACCAGCTGTGCACGACTCCCTCCTCAGGTTCAGTCGTTTGCTGGAGCAGCTCAGCTCACAGAACTCAGGGAAACACTTAGGTTCACCAGTTTATCATATAACAGAGGATACAGATGAACAACCAGATGAAGAGGTTCACTGGGTGAGGTCCTGGAGGATCCTGAGCACCGAGGAGCTGGGGTGCCTTTTTAGGCACGCAGACGTGCCAGCCAGGAAGCTCTCGGAACCCCAGACTTGGGAGACGTTTACGGAGGTTTCCTCCCGTAGCCACAGTCGATCATTAACTCATTTTCCAGCCCCTCTTCCTTCTTCAGGGGATGGGGATAGGGCTGAAAGTTCTGAATTTCTAATCATGGCTTGGTCTTTCTGGTGGCCAGTCCCATCTTGGAGCCGCCCAGAGTCACCCCCTTAGAACAAAAGAGGCTCCTGTCACCCAGGAAATTACAAGGGATTTAATTGAGGAGCCCTGTGTCAAGAACTGGGGTCAAAGACCAAATATTAACAGGAACTGGGAGCAGAGTCTGGTGCGTACGTGTGTGCGTGTGCATGTCTTATTTCACACTGCCATCTCACAAGGCCGTTGTGGGTAAGATCTCTAGGAGTGCCAAGGGCAGAGTGTGTTAACCTTGAGGGAGCCCAGGGCCGGTGACAGAGTCCTCTCCCATCTGACCAGGGACAGCCATGGCCCAAGGGCAAAGAGCCAGACCTGAGGCTGCTAACAGTAGCTGTCCCCCCAACCCCCTGCCTTTCCAACCCAGCCATCTCAGGGCAGGAGAGGGGCCATTCTGAGATAGAGGGGACCATCCACCCAGGCAGAGATGCACTAGTAACCTGACCTCTGAGTTATCTCCTCATCCCTGGAGCACTGGGGCCTGCAAGGCCTCAAGGGGCTTCTTGGGGACCTTCGATTCTGCCTCCTAAAGAGGTGTGCCCTTTTGGACTTCCCAGAGTCAGCTGCTTCCTGGGACCCCGAGGCAGCAGTGGGGAAGATGCAGAGGGCAGCCTCGCCTTGCCGTCAGTTGATAACAGCCCTGTCTGGTTTCTCCCTCCCTCCCTCCCCCCGCAGACCTGGCCGAGGTTTTGCAGAGCCCCGATGGGAACTGGGTGGCCCTGAAGGATGGTACTCTGCTGCCCACCCGCCTGCTGGCCAAACCTAAGAGTGGCACGTTCCAGGTCCTGGAGGCAGCCTCCAGCGTGGCCTCTGCCTACGACGAGATGGGCTCTGACAGCGAGGAGGACTTTGACTGGAGTGAGGCCTTGAGTACACTGTGCCCACGGACCCGAGGCCAGCCCAGGAACCCCCAGCCTCAGCCCACACAGGCCCAGAGCTTGCACCAAGGCCCATCAGCCGCCAACTCTGGGCTCTCTCCGAACCCCGAGGCCATGTGTTCCGACTCAGAGACCTCCTCTGCAGGCTCTTGCCGGGAAGCTGGGCGCCGGGCAAGACTGTCCTGGCTGCTGAGGAAGGCCCCCAGGGACCCCACAGCAGAGAAGCTGCGCTTGCAGGGAGAACTGGACGTGAACTTCAACCCCCAGGCCCCCAGCAGGGAGACCTCAGACAGCAGCGAGCCTGAAGAGGCCCCCTACGCCATGGACCGGAAGACCAGGAAGTGGAGAAGGGCCCGCGTGGGCTCCGAGGAGCCAAGTGAGGAATTGTCTTCTCCCAACGCCCATTCCCAGGGGCTGGACATACAACAGGTAATCGGAGTGGTGTACGCTTTTCAGCCGGATGTGCCCTCCTCCAAGCAGGAGTGGTGTGGAAAGGGTTAAAATTCACAGACCCAGATTCTCGTCTTGGTTTGCTGCTAAGTAGCTGAGTAGCCTAGATAGGTTCTGTGACCTCCTCTCTGGAGACAAGAGCTTATGGCTCCAAGCGGGTTTGCAGTGTGACCCCCAGAGTAGCAACAGCAGTGGGGAACGAGTTAGAATACACACTCCCAGGCCCTGCCCCACTCAAAAACTCTGGGGATGGGGTCCAGGCAGGTGCGGTCACCAAGTCTCCTGGGGATTCTGCTGTCCTAAAGCTTGAGGGCCGCTGGCTTGGGGCTAAGGGTTTGGGGTCTAGAGACAGGCTGCCTGGCTTCAGATCCAGCCATGTGACCTTGGGCTAGGGCTCAGTATCTTCATCTGTAAATGTAGATACTATTACCACCCCCTTCAAAGGATAATGTGATGAGTGAATAAGACAATATTTATAATGAACTAAGCTCTGTCCTAGTCGTGGTACAGGGCTCAGTAAATATTACTTCAAGATGATAACTCAGGGCACAGTTTACTCACGTTCTGTGATTCTTTTGGCCACCTCCCATCCCCTCTCAGAATCCTCAGTGGCTCTGCCCATAAGGATTAGTTCAGGAACCTCCTTTGAGACTCTGATAAAATCTATGGACTCTCTTCACAGAAAAATGCACCCATACACACACACACACACACACGCATGCGTGCACTCTCACACCGTTTGCTTTGAATGACCTTATAGAAACAATGGATTGCATTTGAAACTGAGTGTCTAATGGAAGATCTAGTTAGGTTCCTCTCCCTTCTGTAGGCTCACATTGCCGTCAACTTGACTTTTCACACTCCTGGAGAAACCATACCCACTTCTGGAACCCTACTGCCTCTCCAGTAATAGTCAACCACCGTGCCCTGCATCCTTAGTTTGGGTCTCAGCAAAGCAGCCTCCGAGTCAAGGATTCAGGTGTAGGTTTAGGTGGAAGGAAATCCCAGGAACCCCAAGAGTGAGCCAGGGCAGTGAGAAGGGCCTATTAAGGAAGGCTATAGATTACTGGGGCTGCATCCCACCAGGGACCCTCAGAGAACCATGTGGGACACACCCCTCACCTGAGGACAGTAGTCTTCATCCACAGTCTCCCAACTGCCTTTGGTACAGAGTGGCCCCCCCCCCAAGGGAGCATCAACTCCATGCACAACTGAAAAATCCTTCAGGCAAAGAAGAAGAGAGAGACCCAGGTCTCAGGTGGGAAATGATCAGTGAGCTAGAAACTGTCCCCCGTGGCTGCGGGCAACTCAGGTTGCTCTCGGGGATGCAGGTGGGGACATCACCTTTGTCTGCTATGACTGCGAATGCATCAGCCGGATCCCTGATGGAGAGGCCCCCGTGGACATAGTTGTGGACTCAGAGGCCCTCAGGTCCCAGAATCAGGCATCAATCCTGCCTGAGCTGCTAATATGTTGCCTAGAAAACATCCTTTCTTTGGTCCAAGGTCTCGTGTTTTCCTCTGTAAAACCAGATCGTTACAAATTTGTCCTGTGGGGCCGTTGCAGTCCTACAGCAGAAATAGAAGCTTCCATTCAGTGATGACTCCTTGTGCTCTAGCTCAAGGGGAGACTGTCTGACAGAGACTTTGGGTCCCTTGCCCAAAGGGATAGTCTTTTTTTTTTTTTTTTAAGATTTTATTTATTTGACAGAGAGATCACAAGTAGGCAGAGAGGCAGGCAGAGAGAGAGGGGAGGAAGCAGGCTCCCTGCAGAGCAGAGAGCCCAATGCAGGGCTCCATCCCAGGACGCTGGGATCATGACCTGAGCCGAAGGCAGAGGCTTTAACCCACTGAGCCACCCAGGCACCCCCCGAAGGGATAGTCTTAAGGGTTGTCTGCCTGATTCCCTTGCCATGCATCCACACCCACTGGCTGAGTGAAGCTTCCTGTCTATTGGGAGTTGGCTTGAAGGTTGTCTTCTGGTGGTCATCTTTGCAAGGCACTGAGAGGGAGAAGACGGGGCCAGTGTTCTCTCTGCCTCCCTGGCAGTGTCCTCTCCTTCCCGGTAGGTGGCAGTGGTGTTGCACTAACATAAGTCCTCCTTGCTCACCCTCTTCCTTTATTAAGGCAATTCTCAAAAAAAAAATTACATGTATATATACACACACACATACACATATATATACATACTATATATATATATACATATATATTTTATAAGGTTAGATATATTTCAGGTTAGATCTTATATATGTGTGTACATGTACATACAAGGATATAGATGTATTTTTAACTGTTTGCATATTTCTTAATTATATAAATAAATGAATATAATGTTTTAAAAAAAACTGTGAATATACAGATATAGTCTCCCCCGACCACAACCTAAATCCCCGCCATCTCCCCCAGAATGACTTCAGTGGTATGTATTTGTACATTCACATGTGTATAGGACATTTAGAAATACACTTTTGAAAAGGTGTCTGTATTTTCGCAGCGTCATCCTCTTACTCTCCATATTCCCCTGTCGCCTGCTATTAACAGTGAGCGGCAGAAATGTCAGCGCACGTGTTCACACAGTACCTGCCGAAGATTTGCCTTGAGGTGGTCCCTGACAGGCAGTCGGAGCCGTCCATCCAGGGTGCAAGTAGTGGGCATGCACGTCCTGTAGAGAATTTTAAAACAGTAATAAGCCCAATAAAAGTCAGTCTTCTTATTATCACCTTGCACCATGCAGGGACAATTCTGAGCAATGTAATTTACAGTGAGCCCTTTGGTTCCTCTGTTCTTTGCTTTTCTAGATGATAATGTGGTCAGATCTAACCTTATTGTTTCAAAATAAGCCTTTGTCACCAAACCATGAGTAAATAATTCATCTTTAATTTGCTGGCCTCAGATGCCCCCTTTCATATATATTAACCTTTTTTTATTCCATGAGCCTGGCTTCCTTATGCTCTCTATTTTGTTCCATGGATGCAGAAGTCCCATTTGTGTACAAAAACAACTTTATTTTAATTTTAATAACTTCATAACGTACTCTGATATCCAGTAGATGGTCTTCCCTTCACAGTTGTTTTTCATTGATGATATTTTATAAAGTGTCTTAACTTTTCTCAATCCTTTACTAACATGAATGACTTTTTACAATCTTCTCTACAAGTTGAAAAAATTTTTTTAAGTTTTGATTGGATTGCTCCAAATGCATTTATCTCTTTGGGAAAAATCTATGTCTTTATAATATTGAGGCTCCCCATCCAATGGTGTCATACTTGTCTCCCATCAATTTACTTTCACTCAAGTTTTAGAGATTTTTTTCAAAGCCCTCCTACTTTTTTTGTTCAGAGATTTTTCAATATGTTATACATGTTGTTGACATTGTGGATGAGATCTCTTTTATCTATTATACATTCTAATTGGTTTCTGATGGTGTATAGATCACTGTTGATTTTATGTTTGTATTTTATAACTTAGCACCTAATAGATTCTTAGTCCTACTAGTCTTTGACATGATTCTCTTAGCTATTCTAGGCAGATCATCATCCTGTCCACACGGAGGACACTTTTATGGCTTTTCCCATGATTCACTCTTATTTCTCTTGCTTGTCTTAAGCCCTGGAGACAACCGAGGCTACACTCCGAAGCAATAGTGACATTGGCATTCGGTCTGTGTCCAGCTGCCATCCTTAGGCACCTGCTTGCCGTGCTACATGGTCAAGTATGTTGCCTCCTCTATGTTTAGTAGATATTCTCAAAACCAAGAAGCATCTGCCTGTTCCTGGCTTCCTAAACACTTTAAAGCAGGAATGTGAGCTTTATCAACTGCTTTCTGCCATCTCTTGAGAAGATAGTTTTTCTTCTGTTAATGATTGTAAATCACATTAATAGATTGCTTAGCTCTGAAATGTCTTTTCATTTGTTGCATAAATTATATTGGGACCTGAATCCTTTCTATAAAAACTGGTTTCTGTTTGCAGGTTTCCATGTTCATGCCATCTTGTTCGGCTTTGCCATCAGGTTATACTAATGACTTGGCAAGGATTCTCTAGTTTTTACTATTTTCTGCAATACTTTACATGACGTGATAATTTTCTGAAAGTTTGAAAGAATTCACCTATAAAGCTATCCAGGTCTGCCCCTACTGAGAGGCAGTTTTAGAAGTGAATTTTATATGTTAGATTATGTAGAAAACATATGTATTAGAAAATATTAGAAAACAGGAAAGTAAGAGGAAACTATTAATATAAAAGCAAAACAAAAACTGTTCGATTCATAAACTGAAAAGCTGACATATGTATATATGAATATATATATATATTCATTATACAGAGATGATGTGGGTGAATATATAATGAATTTCCCCTGAAATGCAGTTTTGTTTGCATCCCAGGCTTCGATAGGTAGTGCGCCCATCGTCAAACTCTTCTAAGTAAATTATCACTTCCAAGGTGATTCTCAATTTAAACAAAATTAAAAGGTAATTAGAAGAGTGGATAGCTTTCTGGTTGGTTTGGCTTTGTTTTTGTCTCTAATTTTGAGTCCTCACAGCATTGTGAGCAATAAATATGGTTTATGTGGTTTTGTTGTTGGCAATCTGTTGGGATTTCCTTTGTGACCCAATCTATGGCCAATTTTTATGACTACTACACACATGTGTTTGAAAAGAACACATATTCTCTGTTTGGTGAGGACAAACTCCATGTGCACGTGCACATTGTTCTGGATGTCAGTAGGACAGACAAGGTCCTGCCCAGAAGCTCACGTTCCCTCGCCTTCACGTCTGCCAGGCCTCACTTCCCTAACGTCCCTACTCTTTTCTACTGTTGTCTTCATGGCTCTGTGGTTTTCTTACTTTCCATCCCTTCTGAGTCTGGCAAGTCCCTAGGAGGCACAGCAGCACATGCTGGCAGCTCCACTCCCTGCTGGACCCATGCCCTCACCAGCCCTGATTAGCAGGTAGAGTCTGCTGAAGGCAGAAGTCCT